AAGCATCACTTAGAATTTGAATAGCTGAACAGAAACGATGGATTCTTAATAACTTTTGAGTTTTCCTTCCAATCTTGGTGCACATTTCCTAGTATGAAGTCTCCTTGATAATCTTCTTGTAATTTCTCGGTTGAAAACTCCCTCAAAGATGAATTTACCCTCTTCTTTAATATAATTCTCTCAAGTTCTTGAGTTATTTGTTACATAAAAGAAGCTCTCTCATGTGTGTGAAATGTTTTGGTATTAATATGGCTCGAATCTAATCAAAGATATTTCTCAAAATCTTGTCAAGTTGAGTTTTAATCATATAAGGAAACCTAAGATTTGTCCGAAATCTTGTGCTATGTGATAGCATAGTACATTGTGATGCAATCGCATAGTTCACTTGTTGAACTCCAAATTCCTCACCACATGTGTGGATGCAATCTCTTGGATTTTTGAACTATGCGACTGATAGTTATAGTTTTTCCCGTCGTAGAGCTTTCAATATTTTGGTTATATCTTTCTCTCTCAATATCCAATTGAGATGATTCAAAGTATATTGAAAAGATAACTCAAAGGGATACAATTCTTCTAGAGATATCATTTTTCCATTTTGAACGTTTGATATGACAAAAATGGGTCTCAAACAGATACTGAAAATCTGAAACATAACTTTTTCACCTGAAAATTGATATGTGATAATATTTCAACTATATTTCATCTCTTTGACTTCTTTTCTCTTCCAATTAACCCCTAACACTCTCGAAACTTCATCTTAAGGTTTGACACAACTTTTCAATATTTTCACTTTAGTCCTCAAACTTTGATTTTGCTTCATTTCAGCATTTTTCTCTTACAATCTTGTTCATTTATCTTCCAGTTTTATCCAGTTAAAGCCTTAGTATCTTCGATCTTCATTTCATCGCTCGTATCATCTATGGATTATTTGCAACTTGGTCTCCGCCTTTTGGATTTCACTTTTTGTTGGATTTTCATTGTTTCTTCCAATTTCTTGCTCAACCATTGAGTTTTACCTATTTAATACAAAAATACAACAATTTAGATTATATTTCACTGGAGGAGCAACTAAATATCATTATTTAAGGCCTTGAATAAGTGTATAAAATACACCTATCAATACACATGAAGACACAAAAATTAAAATCCAAACTTTGTGGCTATAATTCCCATGCCTAGCGTTACTAAACTCCTGTCCTTTGAGCTTATACATATAGAACCCTTATCGTAATCATAACTTGGATAAAGGTAACGGTAAATCGATGAAAACAATTCATTCTACTACACTTACCATTATATGGAAGAAGATAAAGGTAATTCGAGGAAATTGTCTTGCTCCAAAATTTTTGGAACACCATGCGTGCTGAACTTTGTAGTGTGAAAATGTATATGAAAGATGAGTTAACAGAAAGAGAGATGCAGAGAACGAGATAAGTCGTGTGTGAGTGTGAGTGCGATTATGTAAGGGGGATATATAGGGTTCTTTAAAGTTTGACAGTATTACCTACTTTTGATATCAACATTCATTCCATTATTAATGTCCCAAGTTTTTCCATATAGAGTGTAATCAATCACTCAACAATTACCTAATTAAAGATATTAATAAATATATAATTTCTATTAATAAGGTATTGTCATATAATTAAAAATTTAATTTAAATTATTCCAAAATAAATATTATAACATACCATATAAAAATACGAGAATACTATTACACATACATATACAATATTTCTAATTTTAATAAATAAAAGTTTCTCTAATTATAATAATTAACAAATTTATTAAGCTAATTGACATGCAATACTTAAATTAACTATGTAATCATATTACTAAGATTTAACCAAGGAAAAAAGAATATGCACATGTGTAAAAGAAATTGCTCTATGGTCCTCAACTATTAGTCAACATTTAATTAGGTCATCAAACTTTAAAAAAAAAAACTTATTTCTAGTCGTTAAATTCAATTCTAACGGCTGCCTAAGTTGTTTTTGGATATTATAATATGGGTTGGGTGTCAATTGCAAATTAGAGGAATGTGCATATTTACTTCTTATGAAAGAATTTTATAAAAACATGGTTATTGCTCCTCGTTCAGATGAGATTTCTTGTTTTCTTAAAAATATTTGTATTACCATTAACAAAGCTCTTGTCCATGATATTCTTGATCTTGAAATGTGTGAAACTCAAATTTTTCTTCATAAAACTCATCCCATTATGAGAGGATATGACCCAACCGAGGTATGACGACGAGTCACCAGGGAAAATATTGAGAATATCACAAAAAACTTAGTACAAATCAAATAACTCTTCCATGTAAAGTTTTACAAAACATTATTGCACATTTCATTCTTCCTCGAAAGGGTCATCGAGATGAGGAAAATAATGTTGATCTTTTCATTCTCGATTCCTTTTTTATCGAGCGGAAATTACACTCTTACCATTCCATTAGGTCTTATGAAGTTTGTCAATTCCAATCATCACGTCAAAATTCTACCTTATGGCATGCTTCTTACAAATTTTTATGAGCATTTTGATATTCCTTTAAATGATGAGACTTTTATTAAACTTTGTCTTACTGACACTATCAACATTCAAACTCTTAAACGCATGTAAATAGTAAAAGAACATGGTCAATGGATAGCACACACAAAAGGGTTTGATCCCACCTAGGCTCCTTTGACTCTACCCTTCAAGGGTAATGAGGATGATATTGTCGAATATGTACCACAAGTTTCAAATCCTCCTCATGACATTCTAAGCTCTAGTGTTCCTCATTCTTCGACCGATGGTTTCACATTTATCGAGGACCACTATATCTTTGAAACGATCACATTGATTTCCTTATATCTTTGGTGACTTGCTTTACCAATTACAAGTTCAACATGCTGCTATACAAGTCGAACAAAATGCCATTCAAGCTCAACAGACGGCAATGCAAGCTCAATAGAATGCCTTCTTTGCTCACTTTTCTCCACCACCTCATCCGGAGCCATAGTCATCAATTTCATTTTACATTTATGTATTTTGTGTACTTTTTATGCTATTTTGTTTAGCTTATTTTATTATAGATGACAACTGCTTTTAATTTTTGGACATCTTATGTTATTTTCGATAGAATTTACATGATATCACTTGTACCTATTGTTGTCTTCTTAATCTTGCATGACCTGGATCCTCACGTTCTTTTTGCTTATGCCAAAAGGGCGAAAATATAAACGTAAGATGATGTGCATACAAGTATAACAAATGTGATATGACTTGTATAAGATTTTGATATGCATATATGTGATATGCTTGATGTATATAGGAAAGGGAAAATATATGTATAAAAGATACGGGAATATATGAATCATATGTGATATCTAAGGTTTTTTTCCCTTATCAATGTGTTGCAAATCATCTTTGTTTGTCATAATCAAAAAGGAAGAAACTATTGACGTATGGTTGATTTCATGTTTTGATTATAACAAACAAATTTTATTTATCTCTAACAATCGAATTCGAGTCTTCATAGCTATTGTTGCATGGTTTATCAATTGGAGAGAAATAGATTGCTAGTAAAAAACTCGCAATTGACAATCAATAAAAATTGAGATAGAAGTCTAGTATTCAAGTCAAATCACTCGAATACAAGAACTTCAACAATCAAACATCAAAGATATTAGACTTAGATGTTTCAGATTCATATGTAAATGTAAAATGCTTAATCATTAGCAATGAATCGTTAAAAGCTCAAAGAATGAATTTTTATGTACGGAAAAAATTACTTCATAAAAACACATGCATAAAAATTATTTTTAAAGGTAAGTGTTTCAATTAGATATTCAAACTCTTAGCAATGTCAGTTACCTTGAAAAATAAAGTGAAAAAGTCCTTCAAAAGTCTACATTTTTAAAAACAATCAAAAAAGAAAATCTGGGAAAATCTGTCCAAGAAGACGCCCGATTCATCCAACTGTCACTTTTTTTAACCCTTCTAAATTCTTATGCACAACGGCTAGTTTGGTTGTTCAGTTCAGGATGCGGACGTCAGGACAAGTTGTTCGACTAGTTAGAAAGTTTGGCATTTTGACTGCTATAAATACCATTTCACTTTCCATTCATTGCATACTTTTGAGACCATTTCAATTGAGATATTCTTGAGCTAAATTAAATCAATTATATATTTTATTTATCTTTATCAATTCTCTTACTTTAAAAAACTTTTGATTGAATCAACCTTTGAAAATCATTCTTCTCATAAAAAATTTTCTCATCCAACACTTGAGCTTCATTTATTACTATTTATTAAAGTGTTAGCATATTTCTCTATTTATACTTAATTTTGATTTTATCATTTATTAAGATGGAAGTTTTAAATTGTAAAATCATTTTCTTTAAATTTGTGGTCATATTAAGGTTTCATAAAGCTTGATATTGAATGAAGATCAATGCTCTTTGTTTGTGAGTTGCCGGAAGCATTGTAAAGGTTTGGATTGCACCATAAGTCAATCAAATTTAGTGAAAAGACCTTGCTCGTGATGAAGAATTTGCTAACGGAGGATGTAGATCTTTGGTTGGGACCGAACATCCACAATTACTTCGTTTGCACACTTTCTTCTCTTTTACTTATTGCTTTTGTACTTGTGCAATTTTTGTTTAATTAACTTATTCATTCTCAACTTGCTTAAATTTGGATTAATCTTCAAAAAACTTTTAAAAATCAATTTACCCCGCTCTTGATTAGCTATTATTGGGCTTTTAGTTTCCGATAAGAGATGATATTTAACCTTGTGCCACTTGTCAAAATGCCATTGGATGTTAAACTTTAACTGATAAACCTGTCAACTGTAAAATATACTTACCATAGTTTGTACTTTCCTAATTCTTTGGTCTAATTTTCCAAAAGGTGGGGACACAATGTAAATAATATACGTTAATTTTTCACAAGTTCTTGTAAGAATTAGCTAGTGGGGATATCACCTACTCACTACCAAGTTTTTGCAGTCAACATTTGGATAATTTAATAATATTTTTGTTACTAATTTTTTCTGGAGGACAGATAAAAATAAGCACAAGCTTGAATCTATTGGACTTTTTACATACCTAACAATGTATCAAGTACAAAAAATTTGACACGCTTCTAAAAGGACCCCATTTTGTTGACTCTAGATGCCAAAATTTTGAGGTGAAGGAGGCCATATAGGAAAATAATCCATTTCAGGTTCAATTTCTGGCTCAAAATTTATCTCCTGGTGTAAACTTCTTGTGTGCTCTGTATTTGGCAGATTGTCACTACCATTTCCTCCAGTTAGTCCAAGTTCATTTTCCAAGTATCTTAACCACTCTTTGCATACATCTTCATTGTCTACTTTTTCCGCTGCATTTGAATTTTCATATTTATTTTGTTCCGAGTTAGTAGTCTGATAAGGATCCAAGGTATCCAACAAGTTCCAAAAGTCGATATCCCACTCTAAAGGGATTTCGATTTCTTCATCTGAAGTAGTCGACTCCTTTCTCTCCTCCGGCCTTGTAACAATATCCCCACTAACGTTACAGAAATTTGATGCATATGAAGACGTAGGAGAATCATAACTTGCAGTTTCTTTTGGTTCATCACTAGGATGTTTCGATATTACTTTTAGGATCTCGGTTTTCTCATTTGGCTTTTTGGCATCGGGTTCTTGAACAGTTTGATCTGTCGTTTCCATGATATGATCTTCATTTGATGTAACTGAACTTGATGGACTAGATGGAGAATCAGAATAATCCATTGGAGAACCACTGGCTTCAGTTTTCCTAGTTAATCTCTTCTTCAAGTGTGTATTCCACACATTTTTAATCTCATTATCAGTTCTTCCTGGCAAGTGAGAAGCAATCTTTGACCACCTACATGTTACAATTAAATAATTACTATAATCCAAGAAATTAAAGATAATCTATAATAAGTTAGTACGTACTCAAATTAATTAATTGCCAAGGAAATTAATATAAGTTAATAAGTTGCTGTCATACTTGTTTCCAAAAGAATTGTGCAGTCTGATTATGGTTTCCTCTTCGTCAGATGTGAAGTTTCCTCGTTTTACATCAGGTCTTAGGTAATTGATCCACCTCAAACGACAACTCTTCCCACAACGTGATAGTCCTGCAAAGATGAACACAAAAGCCAAAAAAATTTAAAAACATCACAAAAAAATAGAAGCGAAATTAGGTCTTGAAACTACTCGATATTCACGTGCTCTCGTGTACAATAGATCAAGAATAAACTGAATTTAACTTCGTCTGTCGCACTAGTAAATTCTAAATATTAACAGATGCCGCACCAAGATATATATGCACGACATGGAGAACGTGAAAAGGATCCCGAGCATAAGGAAAATCGATTTGTTGTCTTTTACCCAAAAAAAAAAAAAAAAAAAAAGGAAAACACATACAGCAAGATTCTAGACAGCTGGTGTAATAGACAAGATTTTGTAGGATAAACTTCATTTTCATGGAACTAACATAGGTACCAAACGACAGAAGCTTACCAGAAGTTGATTTTGTTCTGGTAACTTTGAAGACTAATAATTATTTCACTAACTTGTACGGTTGTACCGGTATTTTAAGCTAAAAATATAAACATGTACATTGAATCAGAAGAATATTATTCTGTTAAATTCATGAAATTTGTAAGAATAAGATTAAAACAGATAGGAGTAGACAAATTTCTGTTGAAACCAACCCGAGCCTCTGGCTTTATAAGTAACATAAACAAGAACACCAATAGAGAAAGAGAGAAAGATACCTGCTTCTTTAGGTAGCGAGCGCCAATTGTTATGTCCATGCTTCTGAATAAAACTCATAAGCCTCAAATCCTCCGCGGGGCTCCATGGTCCCTTCTTCACCTTGGTTTTATCGCAGCAAGGAGCACGACCTCTTCCCATTTCTTACCGGCCAATGAAAAATGTTAAGGATAATTAACAAATTACAGCTACCCTTTAATACTCTGTGTCTCCTTACATGGTGATTTCCTTATCACTTCAACTTCTGTCTATATATATAGGTTTATTAGACAGGAGACTGGCCAACCAGTACCATGCCATGGATATTTGCTAGGCAACAATATTAAAGAGGACAACTATGTCCTTGCTTGGTAATTAATAAACATATTAAATGGGAAAACAAAATACAATAATTCTTAAAAGGGAAAATCCATAATAAAGTTTAGCAACTAATAAAAACAGAAGAAAATCATATCATTGTTAATAATTTAATGTCAGCATTTGATTCCTAATTAATAACAATTGATTATTTGTATTGTTAGTCAACATGGCACTTAATTTCAACCGTCAGTTTGAGAAGATCTGGCCTCATTTACACTATGTTTCACATTAGTATACGTGAAAACTCATTTAAATTGAAATTAAACAAAGAAAGCTGTGTCAAGACAAGAATAAGTCACATCTAGCTGATACCTTTACATAAGACTAGTCTACATTGGACCAAGAGTACGCTTCGAGGATTAAAAAGCAAATTTAACTCTATTTCTCCAGCAAAGATGGTCGAAGAATGATAGAGATTTCCTAATCCTTGAAGCAACACATTTTTCTTGGTGATTATGAGATTAATAGTATTTACGAGAAACTTGGATTAAATTTTAAGGAATATATAATACATTCGTACTTTGATGTACACTATCAAAAAATAAAAAATAAAAAATATTTTAGAAATCATATACTATAAGGCAGCATGTTTCCACGCATGCATCGGCCAGTGTTGAACTGAAAAAATGTTGATATCTTATTGCAGGATGGCAGGGTGTTTTCAGCCTGGTGATACTGATACATTTAACATAAAAATAAGATAAATTAAGGTTACTCTCCATAACCTCTTAGATAGTTCGATTATGAGTCTTCAACTTGCAAACGTAAATATGAGTATCTCTAATCTACTTAAATCCGTAAACAAAAGCGTCAATATGGCTAAGTTGGAGTGCTGAATAGTCAAACCACTTCACATTTCCCTGCAATTCAATCAAAAGTGACATTTTTCTTTACGTTTACACTAATAGTTTCAATCATATTAGGACCCAATTAGAAATTTAGGTTGAGGGATTAGAATCTCAATTTTCAAGATTAAACACTCATAACCACACTACATAAAAGACTTCAAAGATCCCCGTTACATAAACAAATTTGCTTCGATAAGCCACCTCCCAACTGTGCTTAGTCATGTACAAACAAAAATGGTCTCGCGGAGCTAATTGACGAATAGCGCCACGAGCTTGGATTTTGACTAGAAAGCAGTCATAACGTCGTATTCCGGGAAATATTTGGTAGCATGGCCAACTAATTGTACTGTGTCAAAAAGAAAATAGCTACAAATAAATAATATCTTATTCATTAAGACAAGCAAGTGGAATGTTATGTGAAAACATGCCGTGCGCGTACACGGCTTCATTGGTTATTAATATATTTTATATGTTACTTTCTATCTCCCCCCTAAGTCTTGAGTTAGGGAAGCGAACAATTATTTCACTAACTTTGTCTTTACAATTTATGACTAAACAAGTCAATTAGAAAGCTTCATTACAAAATGGTGCATGTATGTATGTATGCATGACGTGCGGCTTATGTACAAGTAACCTAATGCCCCATGCCTTTCATCAATGATTTTCCAACACTTTGCTTTAAGCACACGGTTGTCTTTGAATTTCTTTGCCTTAAACACACTTTTTGTACATGGATTTTGTTTTTTTGGGAATAGGCTGAACGGTGTTTGGTAAACCTACTATAATTTATTAGACCATTTGGATGCATAATAGACATACCAACTTGGGTAAGCCATATACTCTATGCCAAGTCACTCGTGTGTTCTTCATTTTTCAAATCAATATAATTTGCTGAACTTGATTTTCAACTGGATAGTGTGGCCAAAAAATTTTGATTTCGTTCATATTCCTACATAAGGCTCTTGCATACTCGAACAAATTGTTGGAACTATGGTGGAGCCAATCGAGAAAACTCTAATAGTCAAGTCACTTATCTGTAAACGTGTATACTTGGGTGTGGAATGAACGGAAGACATGAGCCACAAGGACATGTACGAATACAGAGTTGTAGAGAGGAAACAATAAGCAAAGTTATAAGTTAAGGAGTATAAAATAACATTACCTTTATATGTTACTAAATGTGAGATTTTATAATTAAAATGATAAAGTAATTACCGTTGGATGAATATGTGTCCTCATCTCAAGGGCCGATAGGTGTCACTTATGCAATTCTAAATTCAGATGGCATTTAATCATTCTGAAAAATAACCACCTAAATGCCTAAATTTGATAACTGAAAAAAGTAGACTAACGAGTTGAATAAAAGGTATTTGTTGTAGAGAAGCCATGTCAATCAATCATATGACGGATCTCGTAAATGAGAAAAAGCTATGAACGATGCGTTCTGGAATTAAAGGCTCATCGCTTCAAAAAGGAGTTGCAATATATCATAACACCTTGCCTCGGCCATTAGGATTTGCCCCCAACATGACTCCTCGACTAGGGTGAAGGCTTCACTTCAACTACCTCTTTGATGGCCTCGATTAAGCTAAATAAGCAAGTGATGTCGATTATGGATCTGAAGTGGCTTGTTACTGACACGTGGTTAAAAATTAGTCTTATAGGATGAGACGTAGCATACCTCATCCTTCCCTCTTATTATAAAAAGTGTTTTTGATTGGAGACGAACAAATTTGTGAGAGGTTATTGTCAACCCAATATCAAAGAATACTTTGGTAGGTAGATTTTTTACCTTTACGGTTGGTAGGTTACTGTTGAAAGGACAAGTGAAAATGACTAGCTGAAGACGAAAAGGTACGCGGGAGAGCTTTGTCAAAAAATGCAATTCTAGATTAGCCGTCTGATGATTCAAAATGACCATCAAAAGATGCTATGCTTTTCAACACAGTAGCTGAGGAGAAAATTTTTTTTAACCTTAGTGTTTAGTTGTCCCAAATTCAACAATATCCCACCAAATTTATTGACAAAATGTGAATATTCTCTTTATGCTGACCGTCCAGATCAATGTTATTGAGATCGTATCCAGCTTCCTGAAGAATGCAATTGTACAAATATCAAGAAATTGAATAAGAATGTAGAATAAGGAAAACTAAAACAGACCAATAGTTAATGCACTCAACTAAAATGCTGTTGTGATAACACAGTTTGCAAGAGGCTGACTGTAGGAAATAACATATGGGGGGCTCTGTTTGTCATCCTTTAAAAATTTAAATTATTTGCTACACGATCATTCTCCACCACACATTCACACAATAAAATATTCTACACATAAACCAATAAAATTTCTTTACTTTTTAATCACACATTCTCCAAAAATACTATTCAATAACTCATTATTCCCAAATAAATTCTATCAAACAAGCCCTAGCAAAACTCATATTCAGCCACAAGCTTTCTCGTTTCTTTGCAGGTATATAAATACAAGCAGAGTATAAATAGATTATACCTCAACTCAGAGTAAGACCCGGGTGAATAACAAAGCAACCCGAATGTTGTGATCTTTGTAGTTTTGTGACTTATGTTACGCAAACCACTTGCCAGCATAATTAGCCTGCAATAAAATAAGCCCATAGGGCAACACAACCAAAAAATGCAACATGGAGAAGACAGTAGAAGCATACTGCTTACAGGTAACAAATAACCATGGTCCCATTATACAGCCGTGATTACGATTTTCATTAATTAGAAGTATCATCTCAAGCACAGTCCTTGTAAGAACAAAGAGAACATGAAGCTGCTTATAGGAAATAAGATTGTACGTCTAGAGGCAAATTTAAAAAATCTTGTGCTTTAGGCACAATTTTCCTGGGTTCTCAACAGGTATACAGAGTTTAAGTACTTCATTGCAAATTCCAAGCATCTAATAGAGCTATCTAAAGACCCCCACCCCTCAGAGCAAGGACCAGGTGAAGAACAGAGCCACCCTCAATGTTGTAATCTTTAGCAGTTTTGTCATCTGCAAGCTGTTTGCCAGCATAAATGAGCCTGCAATAAAAGAAATTTCCCATCACCACACTCAGAAAAATCTGTACCTTCCAAGTTTCAACCTACAATTATGACCCATGTAATCAAAGTAAAACAATGCTGTCTAGAGGCTATATCTCGAGAAAGCATGTCTATATGTTATAAAATGGCTGACAATAATGTTGGATCTAATTTCTCAAGGCCGGAGAAGATTTGCTTCAGTACAGTTGTTCCCCTAACAGCATAATAATTAAAAATCACATGGTCCCGTGTTACACTGATTTCTCCTGCAAATCATGGTCCTTCCCATGGCTCTGGCAACTCTACTACCACGATATCACTCTAACCATTTTGTCTCAACGGTTTCCTTTTTTTGTTCTGCTATTCGTAATGAATAGATATGCATGGTGCATGGACGAAGATCAAATTAATATTAATAACTTTAGTTTTCTCCTCATTAAAATTAAGATCAATTGAATGAATCCTTATGTCATTAAATTCAATCAAAAGCTCTCTCTTTTGATAGATCAAATGAAGTCAAATCTTTTATCACCACCTCATAACAAGTTAATTTTGGTCTACATACTCCTATTAGCTTGTTCTATTAAGATCAGGTAGGTGTTAACACCTAAATATCTTACTTTAGTTTAACATCAATTGACACCACATTACTTCCTGCCATATATATATATATATAGTTTTTTTTCCCCCCTCTATGTAACTGTACAACTATCTTTAACATCCTCATTCATGCAGCCCATAACATATTGTTTTTTCATTATTTAAATGTCTCAACACTCACTACAACAAAAGTTAGCTGCTGTTGTTATAACAGTTCTATAAAACTTTATGGTAGGTAGCTTACAATCACAAAATCCAGAAAACCTTTCCCATGTTGTCTACTCCGCTTAGACATGTGCATTATAACCTGCTCAAGTCCTAAACCTTAATTAAAATCAAACTTAAACCAAAGCTCTTTTAGATAACATGATCCAAAATTTTAATTCCCCCATTGTACTTGTTCCTTTGATGACTAAAGAACATCCCATATATCTTGTATTACTTTTGCTTAACTCAGAACCCTAGGATTTCAAAGTATTTCTTTAAAGTTCTAACTTATTATTTATTCTCCTCCCACTCCTATCAAGTAGAACTATATTATAAGCCAATGACATTTATCCTACATTATAAGCCAATGACATTTATCAAGGGACCTTAATCCTTATCTTGAATTTCCTAAGTTCATAAATGTCAAAAACAACATAATTAAGGCTTAGAGTATGACATTGATATAAGCCTATTTAAATGGGATATTCCTACTACTATATCCACTCATTCATACGTTTCTTAACACCAAAGTTCCTAATGAAAACTTTGTTTCTTCCTAGTTTCCACCAGAGCACTTGCCTAGTAGCTCTAGTTGCATTTTCTTGCTTTTTCCATATTCATTATCAAGTTAAAATTACCCACTAAAAATTAGGTTTTAAAAGGAACTGGAATTAGATCCATTTAGATTGCTGATGTTGATCATGAGTGCTGTTACTCATACCAAAAGAAAAAAGAATCAGCAATGTTGCAGCACTGTCGCCCGCGCTGGGAACCATTTGAGTATAAACATGAAGCTTATACAAGTTTAAGCTATGGGCACATATCACAACATGAGCATGTTCGTGGTGGTGAACAAGTGAGAAGCAATGGAAACAATGGGTGCCCTAACATAGAGTCAATTACAAAGCAAGCAGCAGCACTTAAGGTTATATAAATTACTACAGAAGGGGAAAAAAAATCTAGAGAGGTGTTACATAATCTTAATCCAAAGAATTTAAAAAGTTGAGTCGAAAATTGTATCACATGAACAAGTGACACTGGGTAGAAGCTCACCAGTTTAAAATGCAGCTAAAGCTGTTTTAGAAACAAACAAAATTGGCAGGCATAAGAAAGATGATTAAACAAAAGCTTATCACAAAACCTTTGTTGGACTGGTGGAATTCCTTCTTTCTCTTCAACCCGCTCCTTGATACGTTCAATAGTATCAGTTGGCTCAATATCGATTTCAATTTCTTTACCTGTTAGTGTCTTCACCTTGATCATAGTTCCTCCCCTAAGCCTCAGAACAAGATGAAGTGTTGATTCCTTTTGGATATTGTAATCTGCTAAGGTCCGGCCATCTTCCAACTGTTTACCCGCAAATATAAGCCTCTGTTGATCAGGAGGTATACCTTCTTTGTCCTAGTATTATTGTCATGCTAGCTTAAATTCGTAATAATTACCAAAATGAAGAAATTCAAAATCATTATCAAACATTTTAGTGAGTCAACACCACATTCGGTCCCAGATTATAAATAGCAACTGCAGGTTACTAAAATTTAGACAACACTTTCCAGCAGAAACAAGAGTATATAATGTAGATGATCACGATTATATAGAAATGAAAAACCAAAACCACTCATTACTTGTACATACACATATAAGGCCATGCTCAGAACATATATTTGAATTTATCAAAGTATTGTAATTTTCAAGTTCAATGAGCCAGAGAGATTCGAGTCACAACCAATTCAAACAACCTTTTTATAGTTCAGAGTAAATCGAATCAGTTTTCTGATATGGTCGAATTTAATAGAGAAGAATTAGAGAAGATAAAGTTATAGGAGAAGAAATAGAAAAAGAATTGGATTGAGATAAAGTAGAGAAGACGGTAGGAAATAATTGCATTCTTCAATTCCTCCTAAAATTAAAGAAACCTAGAACTATTTATAGTAGTTTTACAAGGCTAGAATAACAGTTAATGCTAGAAATCAGGAAAAGCACTATACCACTAAAAAAGCTACAGATAAGCACTGCATGGCTTATTAAATGGAACAAACAAACTGAATAAATAGAGCTCACTACCCCACGTGTTGACTTTAGAAGATAACAACAAATATGGGAATCATTTGCATGGCTGGCTTTGTGAATGTTGGACAAATACCTCCACGTTTCCACTCCCAGCCTCCACTTCATTTCCATTTTAATCTGGTGCCTTAACAAAGTTATTTGCATGGTGACATGTATCATTTTCACAGTGCCTTGAAATCAATGTAGTTTTAGAGGCAGAATTATCATTTTTCTTTCATTCTTCTATTCCACTGCC